TATGCGTTCCTCAAGTAAACATCAGTCTGAAACGGTCCTTAATGTTTATAATCCATATCTACCTCATGTATTTTATTAACCCTGCAATGCACTTGTGATTAGTCATTTTGAAACTTGAATGAGATTTCTTAAATATATCGTAAATAATTGGCTTTATTGTCCAACTCAAAGCAATTCGGGGCTAATTCCTAGCTTGATGTTTTTTAATTAAAGGTAGTAAGGAGAAAACATGTAAAAATGAAAATGAGCTATGCTTTTTTGCAACTCTATCATTGCGAAGAAATGAACGGTCAGATTTACGCTCTCAATTTCCGAACGACTGACTATGGCATTTTCACTAAAAATTAATCTGTCACTCACTGGATACATCTTGCAGTAGGTCAACAAATGCTAAAAATTGTGCAATTTAATTTCACCTTGATGTAAATGGTTCCATAAAAAGCTATTTTGTGTGGTGCTGTTGAACCAACTGTGTGCGCGACCAATGCAAAAGGACCAAAGTAATATCCTTTCGTTTATAAATTTCGGGTTTATTCGCATTCAACAATGAAATTTGATAAAGGCTCTGTGTTGACTAACCTGATGAGACAGGAGTGAGGCTATCTTGGCCAGCAGAAGGAACAAATGATGGTATTAAGCGGTACTGAACCTGTGTATTACATACACAACCTTAACAAAAGGAGTAAATGTGACGAAAAACCGTTGCGCCTGAAAAGTCTGGGGCAATGAAAGATGAGAATGCCAATCTTACATACATGTGTAGTCCATAATGAGGTTAGCTAGAGACCGAAAAGTTAAATGAAGGGACAAATATCACGGTATAATAAGTATCGCGTGAAGATCAGAACAAAAATATTGTTTGACTACTTTGGTTTTTAAATGATGAAACCATACACAACCCATCTAGGCAAGTGACATCGTGATCAAGTGGCCAAAGTTCTTATCAACCTCATACGCTTTCTTCCTCTTGGACTTTCATGTTTGGTTTGGATATGTTTTTTAAAACTAAGTTATTTTAGTTGTCGGACAAATTAAAAAATTCCCAAAGTAGGAGGATTTGCCTTGTGCTATCCTTCACACTAGGTGCCTTTCTTTTGTTTAAACATCTATTTTAGGCGGTAGAGGCATTGTTTACTAACTGCTTACTCTTTTGCAGCGATTTCAAATACCTAACAGGGTATCAGAGTAGTTTGAGAGCTATAATGATTTGAATTGGTGCTTTTATATGTACAACCTGTAAGAAATAAAGTCGCCTTTTCGCTGCAGAGAGGTCCATACACCTGATGCAGTTTCAGGAGGCTTAAAACGGGCACATGCACACCCCCATTACTGGGTTGGAGGAAATTAAAGGTACAATTTCATCTCTGCATGGTCTAGCATAGCATGTGCTGTTGTATTGTTTCAGCTGCCCCGGTTTGGAGATTGACGCGTGCTTTTTTGAGCTAGAACACTTATTTTTCCGATTTTGGTGCCGCTTGCTGTGGTGTGCTGCCGCCCGTTGCTACGCGGCAACGGTAATGGAACTGTGGAGGGTGCTCAGTCGAATGCAGGCCCGCAATCAAATAAAGCAGGTTTGTAAGTTCTGATAACTTCCACTACTTCTCGTTCTTTTTTCGGAACTTGTTAAATGTTAAATAGTTGTAGAAAGAGAGGAACCATCATTTTCGCCCTAGAAGTTATTAGTCCCCCTGGCCATTCCTTACATTAAAGTCAGTTGAATAGGTTAGAGTTTGTATCAATTTACGTTTATAAATGAAACAAACCGACTTTTCGTCTTTTGATACTAGTTTTTGATGAATATCATCTTTCGGCAATACCTTAAGCAAAATCCAGCCTTTTTAAGGCTTTTAATTGAATGCCTTTTAATACGCGGCACCCGATTTGTGGTGGCAGTCTGTGACTGCTTAAACAAGGGTTCATATGAACATCTCCATCTCTGAGTAATTAATATGTGGTTTGTTATCTTGTAGTACCATCTCAAGTTTGTTTTCAAAAAGTATTTTGGGGAACGTCTACGATTTGTGCTTCACCGCAGAAGGATATCTATCCTAATACAATCATTCTCAGTGAAACTATAAGTAGAGCAAAGCGGTGTCTAACATTTTATCACTCTTGAGTACTCACCTGTTTTTAGAACCAGGTAAATTATCTTCACTTCTGTTTTGCGTCTAGTTCATTTGCTTCCTATGCAAACTCTCCATTTCACTAAATAGCATAGTGCCTTTTCATACTCACCCAATTGTGAGGCTTTTATCTTATTCACACAAATGGTTTTCACAAAATCATCCCCAATGTTATCGGTATGTGAATATTTGGACTTTCCAATATGTTTTGAGGCCGATTTCCCTTAGTCCTGCTATTTTGCTTCGAATTTTCGCACTTTGATTCGTCTGTTTAATTTTTGGATTTCATCCATGGCTCTCTTGCGGCATCCATTACTGAGTGCTTTAATCCTTTTCTGGAGTTTGTAATAGCACCTTAGTAAGTATCAATAGATCATAGTGGTAGGTTCGCTAAATAGTTAATCGTTTATATCCATATCAGCACAGGGATTGCTCTTATTTAATGGTATTTCTTAATTATCCCCCTTTTTCCACTTAAGCGCATAAAATTGTCTTTACTACAGCAGTAAATTCCAACTACGTTCACAACCTCATCCAATTCGTGAGAGTTAGAAATGCACAAAATTTTCCATTATCCCGTAGGCCTATTCTAGACATTCAGTAAATTGGGCTTGAGTTTCCCGAAGATGGTTATTCCCCTTCTTTTAAGCTGAGTAGTAACAGGAGGAATTATTCCACTTGAAGAATTAGTCCACTTTTGAGAGGCAGGATGTTATTTTGTCGTAGTGACCCAATGTTTAACTGAAAGTTCACCATTGTGTTACATATATGGAGACACAGAATGGTGTCTTTCGAATTTCACGTTAGTAGCACTATGGATAGTATAGTTATGCTAATTTGGACACAAACTTTTTATTGTGAATACAGAAGAGCCTTCGCTCTTATATGTTTGGATTTAGAGTAAATAAAAACTACAATATTCGCATCTTTTGAGCATTAAAAGGTAGATCTTTTCTCTGTTACTTAAAAATCCTACGATGTTTTAAAGTGATAATGCGCTGCAATATTGTCAAATACGTCTGTAATATTACAGCGCTCTCATACGCATCCAATGTCAATTCCTTGCTTAAAAGAGCTACACGGTACTATGTCATCTTTATTTTACTCATCTCTGATTTTAGTTAATGCAAATATTTCTCAACCATTCTTGTGCTTACTCTGGCATTCGATTTTAGAAGCTTTCGCCTTTAATTAGGCGATAGGACATCATACATCCAAGCGAGCCCAACTTTTTAATTATGAATGATGAAGCGACTTGTCATCTCACCAAAGCTAGTTATGCTTGCAGTTGAAGATGTCAGCATTGATAGAAAGGGACTGCGTATCATTTACTCCTTAATTGGAAAATGAAGGACATTTAGTCTGACCATGCCTCCCTACTGATTGTCAAAACAGGGATCGTGGACAATGCTGGCATTCCACCGAGTTTCAGTTCAGGGGGGTACTTTATCGAGATAAAGTTAAATTTTATTACTTCAAACTAGGATCTGGTCGCAACAAGTTAAAGTAGACTTATTACAAGAAAAAGCAATATAATAAACATTGCTCTTTCCCCATCCGGTTGCAGTTACCTAAAAATATCCCACTTTTTCTCTTCTTATATATGTCGCCACTGCAACACTTGTTCCCCTCATAAGCAACCGATAGACAGGTTTTCTCAGATGTCACACATTTTCGATCTTGCCTATACATAGAAGACCACTTAGTAAAGTATTGGGCCAAGACCATATTTAGGGGAGAGAATATCATGTCCATAAAACCCCTATAACCTTAGAACCAGGATCATCCTACCTATATAGTAAAACCTTTTATGTGAGACTAATTTCTGAGTTATAGGCACTTTGTAGTGTTTTTAGAGTAAAAGCCTACTTTTTTTGCAAGACCATTCAGTGAAAACAAGTCCAAAGTTACTTTTCTTCTTTAAATTTTAAAGTGACCACAATCACGCCACTGATTTGTCACAACAGCATTGCGTCTTATATTAGACGAAAAAGCAGAGAACATTATTCCTAGCCTTTTTTAATAATTTTCAATTCGTCAGCTGTCATAAGAACAATTTCAGTCGTCAGCTTTCTCCCACTAACTGACCGCTTGACAAAAGTATTTAAATCAGTTGATGGCAAACGAGAGCCAAAATTATTATTTGTTGTAGTCATTTCAACAGCGTCACGAAAAGTAACTGAAATAAAGCCATTTTCTTTTATTAATAGCTTTGAGATATCAAAGCTAAAGGTACGAAATATACATACTTGTCAATCTAATCGTGATATTAATGTGGCGATTTGATTGTTTAACTGTATGATTAACTGCGCGGTCTCCACAGTCTCTGCGGGCTTCAACTCTAGGGGCGCGCTAATAGTCGCCTTACTCCTCCGTGAGTATGCTCTTCCTTTCTACTTTGGCATGTTGCGACTTTAGAGAAGATTCAAAGGGCTACTTCATGCTAAACACCTGTGTTCCAAAGTGAAAGCGAGTGGGCTTAAGGCCTAATAGTATCCACTGGGCTTCAAGCTTCCATTAGTTTTACGACATTGAATCTTCTGGTCAAAAGAAACCAGGGCGCGTAGTTGAATGTGGAGTTGAAAATATGTTTGTTTATAACTTAACTGTGAATAAAGGAATTATAGGAATGGGAAAAAACATTGTCAGCACTTCCAGTGCAAATTTTTGTTGTGATAACGATCCTTCCCATTTTCCGCGTAATTGTGCCATCTCTCTGGTAGCTATCCAATTCCATCACAAAAAAAGGGTGATGGGTCTAACTTAAGGTCACTCATAAGCAGGAAGTTTGAGTAAACGGCATAATAATGCAGAGAACCAAAGTGTTAACATAAAGAGAGAACATCATATCTACAGAGACGTTATAAAGAATAAAAAATGGTTCAGGTGAGTATGTTTATACTTGGCATTTGAAAACCTCTGTCTTGACTGTCACCATAGATTACAAAAGGCTTTTAGTATGCGGAAATAATCTGTGTCCCATTGCTTCCACCTGAAAGCGATAGAGTTAAGTCATTTTAAACTGAAGGAAATTCATGAAAATACTTTTGATTTCCGTGGAAAGTCAGGTTGAGGACCTTATGAACTAGAGATACTGGTATACTTTAGAAAATTTGATTTTATAATTGTTCAAATCTAGTACCTTAGTCTACCTTAGAGCAGACAAAAGTCTTTAACATTTGTATTAAAAAAACAAACCACACGCATTCAGGTCCCTCCAATGGCTATTTCATTGCCAGATCATATCGTGTGGGTGTTCGTACGCAGTCTCGTGTTTGATGCTGTGCCTGGAAGGCAATCAAAGTATGCGCGTAGTGGGTTCGACCTCGGAATGGGTGGACTTCCTGTGCCGGTAGTCAGCCCTAGAGGCTATTAAATTAAGACGTAAGTAGTAGCACCACGCTCCCTGTTTGCAGACCATCTGAATGCCTGTTAAAGCTCCAGATTGGTTAAAGGTCAGGTTGCAGTCTCGTTGACCACATTGGCCATTAATTTCATACTGCAAATTAGTTCTTTGGAGAGGGACTTCACATAAACCCTGGTACTTAATTAGAAAATATTCAACTAAATGGTTAGGGATATTTGGGCCTGGTTGTACTTGAAAGCATATCTACTGTTTCATTCATGCACTTAAAATTGTGATCCTCTACTGCATATATTGTACCAACAAATACACCCCGTTTTTACAATTTATTCGCATTAAACGGGCAGATGTGTTACTACCTTGTCACCTTTCGTATAGAGAACTACAGAATGCGTGTGAATAAGATCACAGCTGCCCAAATAAAAGAGAAGGCGGAGGAAACGCGTGCCCCTTAGAATTCTGTAAAGTTGGTTTTTTATTTCAAATGCCTTCTACGCTTATTCACTTTGTAGTTCGGTAATTTAATGATAAATTGTAGGCTATTAAGCATTAATTCTGTGATTTGTGGTGCATTTTATAGTCTGCTCCAATAAAATTAATATAACTTTGTGGCTGCGGTCGCAATTCTAATGACAATTCGATCTTTGGTCGGCCTTAACGTATTCTTTGATGTTAGACCGCAAATCGGTGAATAAACAAAACGATATTGCTTAATTTGAGAAATTTCGTTGTAAAATATGGAACAGTAAAGGATGTTTGGAAAGTCCTTTATGGGTAAATTAACAGATTTGTGTTAAATTAGGACTATATGAGACATTTGAATCTCGTTCATCTACACTAGATAGGAGGTGAATTGAAAGTTGATGTTCCCCCTGATTAACCCAAATGATTTTTTGTTCAATTTGACCACATTTCTGACCCACTGCTGGAATAGCGTAGCTTGTTTATTTTTTATTCAATGTGTCCAAGCTACTATGCACCCGAGAATACACTAATAACCATTTTCGTAGCGCAATGGGACTGCTCTGAAGACGAAAGAAGGCATACACTTAAGCGGTGTATGTATGACCAATTTAGAGAAGAGCAGAGGACTACTGGCGTGGCCAGGAGGCTGCGCCACTCAGCATGATTACGAATTCGGAGCTTTAGGTGCTCGGGAAATCAAGCAAAGAGTTGAACAAATACTGCAAGCATTGTATTGGTCACCGAATAAGTTACCATCGGTTTCGATTTGACATCCCGTGAATCGGTGTCTTTGTGAATATTTAGACGAATGATACTATTCGCCTCTGTAGAGGCGCTGCCCCTGATCTACTTGATTCCAACTTTTTTCATCCCTAAAAACTTAATTTCATTATTCACTACTTTACCGGTAGGTTTATACATCAGCAATTTATTTGCATGTATCCACCAACATTTTCGTGGTTGAAGAAAAAATAACTTGTTAGTCTAAGGTAAATTGCAATTTGCACGTTTTAAAGCATGTACCAATAAGTTTACTCGTTTTGGCAATAGGATGACCTCTGCTACCAATAATATTCCACGTAAATAATAAGGAATACCTGGTGCTAACCTGTGAAAAAGCAGTAATTAATATATCAGCAAGGTGAATGGAAATACAAATTTTCCGTGCAATATGGTCAACAATTGTGCAATAAAAAATCTCCTCCCCATTCCCTTAGGTGGAAAATTAATTCCACCGCTTTGACTACAATTATAAACTGTAATAGAAAGCATTCAAAGGCGTAAAGCCTATCTCGCAAAAAAGTTGGGGGGGACATCGATGCAAACACAAATCACTCTTGCCTCTTTGAGACGTCTAATGCGAAATCTGTTGAGATGTATCTGTGGGAACAAACATTTAATTAACTTTGTTTAATGTGCAAGTGTATTTGCATTCTCGCAAAGTCAGCCTCCACCACACTTCCCATTGTTCCTTGTGAATACCTAGAGCTCAATTGTTATTCATTCCTTTTCTATCTTTTTTCATCAATGGGCTGACAGGAACCAAAATCGGAGCTGCATTTTTATTTTATCTTTAGCGGTTTACTTAAAATGTGCTTCTTTTCTACATTTCGGTAGTCTATCGGAGTATTTTCTCTATATACCCTTTTACATGGTCTCTGTGAAATAACTTTTGATTATATAAATGAAGGAGCTTTGCGGCAATTCGTAATGATGCATAAATACTAATTAGCTCCCATCATCCGAGTTTGATCTTACATGAACTGATGACGCAAATGCATCGTGCAGGGCGTGTACGGGACGTTCGGTGGATCAGGACTGATCACTCGACTGCAGTTACAGCTTGACCAGACCCTCGCTGAACCATGCCCGACTTTGTGGTTGTGTGCAAATCTTAAGGCATCCTGCGTTTACTAAAGGATAAAGGTACTGCAAGAAATATAGCTTCAATAAAAACAGCAGATTGTATCTCTGACTCGAATTTACGTCACTTAAACATAAAAATGCCAGTCGGGATGGTAAAGCTTGCTAATTTTCTTTCATTTTTGACAAGGAAGTACGGTTCGAATCTTGATGTTTATGTATCTTATGTAATTTTTTACTTAACGTGAATAATTCGATGATTCTGAAGTCCTTAGTTTAGGGCCTATTGAATAAGTAGCACTTGTGGACATAATTTTTATTCGTCGCTTAAGTTTACTTAGCGTCAGTATAGCAACACTTACTCATCCTTCGGGTACAACTTTGCTTCAACTGCTAGCTTTCAACACCCCTATTTAAAAGGAAAAAACTCTCGATGCCTCAGCCTCTTTGAAATGGTGACAGTAATCTTGAAATATGGGACGAATGTCCTGTAAATTGGATGGGGAGATAAAGATTGCGATTAAGTCAATTTTGACTGATCGGCAGCAGCATTACTTACACCATTTCGCCTAGATGTCGCAAGGAAATACTGCAGCGAGATGAAGCCAATTCCTAACACTTTTATAACTCTTAACTAAACCGCGTTGAAGAGGTCGAATTGCATGCAAACACATGACCCACCGTTCCTCTGCTGACATAGCGTTCCTTGTCTGAAGGAGTATTTCAATTAGCACTACGTGAGCGCCTAAACTATATTTGCAAAGGCCGAGACAGAGCACAACAGTTGGGGGATTTAAAAGAGACATTAAATCTCTTTAAGGATGGTCATTTTCTCTTAATTTGAGGGAATTAGTATACAAGCACCCCGAGAAAGGGAAATGGCAAAGTTATGCTAAAGTTTTGCGCAGAATATTGCTCTAAATATACCAACTGCATACGATTAATGTTATAGTTTGTATTCATTATTTGCCTAGCCTATAGAAATAAAATTCCGCTCTAAGCTGAATGGTAACGCTCAACGAAGACGAAATTTGAAGGCGTTTTAGTTGCTACTATTTAGAGTTAGAGGTGATTCGCAGAGATAGAATGTTCCTCAAATGCTTCCTACTTTAACTATAAATGGGATCAAAGTTGCGTTTTTGCATTTAGCACTGGTTTTACACATTAAAATGACTTTTTTAGTAATCTGCAAAGGTCAGTTCTTTGTCATGCTTAGTTATTCTTTTCATTTCCTCGTGAAATGAATCCTCCGTAGACTGGTTATAAGCGCAGTGCAGCATAAGTGGCTGAGCGTATTTACATCAGATGGAGGGCAAGTAGTCACAAGCTGATTAGTTGGATTATGTGTTGTATGTAATGTCGTAACAGATTTTATATATGGGCTTAAATGCTTTCAAATTCAATAGTACTGGTAATTCAATCAGCACATCTAGACAGATTACATAGTCACAGAATTTCGAGGGGTCACAATTCGTAGTTTATGAATTCCTACTTGGGTTAGAGATATCAGGATTAATAATTTTAGTCCCGATTTAATGTTCCCAAGCTACAAGTTTTGTTTCCAACAAAAAATTAAGTCAATTTCAAAAACCGTATTTATCCTGAAAAGCTGATTATCAGATTCACTGTGGCGGAATTTGATCCAGTGGCCCGTTTTTATCACTGTTGCGTTCACATCCCACTTTTCAGCCAGTGGGACACTTGCATTGCAGTTTCCCTCTATTCCTCTGCAGGTGGTGTGGACGAGAGCTTCTAAGCGGTTTTGCCCAAGAACTGGAAGAAACCATTTAGAGTTCACTTATTTTATCAAAGCTCATCTCAAAAATGCTGGTCTATCAACTACCTGGCTCAAAAACTAAGTTTTCCTGTTTACATAATTTTAAACCACCAGTTTTTATTTCCACCCATGTTGCGGTGATTTTACCAGTGATTGTTGCATTTCATACATTAATTGTTAAATTAGCAAGCAAATTGCTAAACAAAAGTAGAGATTATCTCACAAACTAAATGAAATGATCTATTTGAAGGTGTTATGCATTTGTAATAAACGATTGCCATGGAACTAAATCCCAGGCAATGAACAAAAATTTACCATTGGGATAATTTATCCGCAACGTGGATGCACCACTTTCAGCTCCAATGTAACAAATGGTCAAAAAGCACAATCAGTGCAGCTCGCAACTCAATAGAATATCTTCTCGTAAACCTGTCATTAGAATCTTGTCACAGTTTTGAATTAACATTGCAAATCATAAATCCTCTCAGTGAAAAATGGGACCCTCGGTTTGGTCTACTAAAAGGCACAACATGTCACTTTGGTGCATCCAGTTGCAAGCGTTTATCTTTTACCAGTACAGCTGTTCACTTGGCTTACCTTTCCAAAAAAAGCTACCACCACATGGTCAAAGTTAGGTAAATAACATTATGACTAAATTTACTTGTGCCAGTAGTGTTCACTATCCAAGAGTTGCAACGACAACAAATATTGGTCAGCTTCTTTTCGTTACTCGGTCGAAATTACGAATCTCTATGTTGTCTTCAACAACGGTTGTCCGAGTAGCTTTAAGCCGCTCAAATAGACTCTGTCAAAATAATCGCAAGGAACAGAATCGGTTTCTCGGAGTTTCATTCAAAATTACACATTAATTCGTTAAATTCAAAGTACGTTCAGCATGTACAGAAAA